ACAAAAACAGGTGTCATTTGTAGTCTCTAAATAGCATATACACAGGGGAGGGGTAAACATATCGGCTCCGATTCGCTAAAACTGTTTTGTCCACCTCTGTTTAGGTGAACCACACTGTGGGTGAACATTTGTACACTGTCGACAGTCGCTCTGACCCGAATGATTTATTTTCTCGCAAGAAAATGAAATGAAACGTTGAAGGCGTTTGGGAAATTTTGCAGTGCGGGCATATTGACGAGGGCCCTTTGACTTTCGCCAAAATACGGCATTTCACAGACGTCGACGGAGTTTGTATTATCGCATAAACAAATTAGACCTGAGGGGCTTGTCGACAGTCGACTTTACGGAAACGGAGTGTGCCCAAAAACTCTATGATGGTGTTGGCAGTCTGTGGTATTAAACAAGGCGTATTAAACTTGGGCGTGGGTACAAGATAAAAACGTCTTGAGTAGCAAAACGGCTTACCGTATATTCTTCTGATCACAGTCCCTCTGTCACAGATCTATCAACGACAGTCTCTCTTTGTTTCTGACCCGCGTAAAGAGACGATTCGCACCTACGATACTAGTAAGCAGCAGAACTGTTTGACAAGGATTAGAGAATGCTCTTGACTTGAGGTCAGTTACTGGGTCAATCGCGGTTACTAAAATGGTAATCGGCCGGGTCAATCGACTACAAAGAACAACTCTGCGCAACTTGAACTATTTGAAATCAGGGAGTGACTGAAAAAGTGTGAAAGAAAGTTATTCACGGTGTCTCATCTATACATTTTTAGTTTTTTTCTGGAATGTGTCATGGTTTTATTCCTCTCGCTGTATAGTAGCTTCAGGGGCGGATCTAGGATTCTGGAATAGGGGGGGGGGGGCGATAAGTTGGCCTAAGGCCAAGTTCGCGAGCGCCGATGGCGCGAAGCCCTGTTGATTGTTAAAAATAGGGAGGCGGCCCCCTCGACCCCCATCTAAATCCGCCAATGAGCTTGCACAATTTACTTTTTTAACAAATCAACCAGTCACCCGCATGATGATCGACCCCTAAAGCTTTGCATGCTGGGATTTGTTTTGTTTTATTTAACAGCACAACAGTGTCGTCTCAAAATAAAACACGACTAGGAATAATAAAACTACAAAAGAAAAAAATAAAGAAAAATATAATCGTGATTTTTGTGGTTTTAGACACGTTAAGTTTCAAATGGCTGAAAGACTCAAAAACCAAAAGTAGCACAGTCGAGAGGATATTTTCTGTTCAGCGCATCGTATTCAGTTATTTTTTGATGTTTAATATAGCTATTGTGTTGGTTTTATAAAAATCAAAACAACCCGTTTGGTACATGGCCGATAAAGTTATGAAAAAATCGATAATTTGAAAAAAAGCAACGTGAAAACGAAGTATGGCCGCTCTTGAATAAATAGTGTAATCCCGTTATCAATTTAAGTGTATTTACTTGACAAGCTTAGTTTCGAGTGTCATACCATATCACAACAAACTTGGCAATTGTTTATGTACAAAACGTGATATGTGACCGTTAAACTTGAACACTGCCGTGTCTAACGCTGCCTTTCTCGCAACTTTCTCGTAAGCCACGGCACCTGAACCAAGCGAAAATGTCATCAGAGCAGAACTACATAATGAGATGCGAGCACTCGGTAAAGCTACGCTTTTTATTTTTACTAAATATCG